CTCATTTCACGTTGAGGTCAAGGACGGGGTGACCGTTTCTACGTAGGACAAGGACCTGTTGTGTAGGGGCCATTTGGATGTTGCAACTCAAGTATGATAGCTTTTGTCAAGGAAACATCTCAAGCATAAACTGATATAAGTTAGACATACTTGGAGCTGCAGTGAAATGCTTCAACTTATGGACAGAATACAGAATAACAGAGTTGGAAGGGACCTTGGAGGTCTTCTAGTCCAACCTCCTGTTCAAGCAGGAGGCCGTGTACCATTTCAGTCAAATGGCTGTCCAGTCTCTTCTTAAAGACATCCAGTGCTGGAGCATTCACCGCTTCTGGAGGCAGGTTGTTCCACTGATTAATTGTTCCAACTGTCAGGTTTCTCCTTAGTTCTAGGTTGCTTCTCTCCTTGATGAGTTTCCATCCGTTGCTTCTTGTCCTGCCTTCAGGGGCTTTGGAGAATAGCTTGACTCCCTCTTCTTTGGGGTAGCCCTTGAGATATTGGAAGACTTGCTATCATGTGCCCCCTCGTTCTTCTCTTCATTAAACTGGACATGCCCAAAACTAATCAAGGAGAGAAGCAACCTAGAACTAAGGAGAAACTTCCTGACAGTTAGAACAATTAACCAGTGGAACAACCTGCCTCCAGAAGCGGTGAATGCTCCAACACTGGAAGTTTTAAAGAAGAGACTGGACAGCCATTTGTCTGAAATGGTCTAGGGTTTCCTGCCTAAGCAGGGGGTTGGACTAGATGACCTCCAAGGTCCCTTCCAACTTTATTATTATTATTATTAATTCCAGCAACCATTCCTTATATGTTTTAACCTCCAGTCCCCTGATCATCTTTGTTGTTCTTTGAATTCTTTATAGAATCTCAACATCTTTTTTACATCGTGGTGACCAAAACTGGATGCCGTATTCCAAGTGGGGCCTTACCAAGGCCTTGTAAAGTGGTATTAATGGCTTACAATTAATCAGGTCCCCCCTCTATTTATGCACCTGTGCCTTGATAAGCCCTTGCAATAACAAATATTCAAGGTTTTAATTTAAGGAGTATTCATTTCCTCTAAAGAACCCCCCCCCATGTGTTCTCCCTGTTTCGATCCAGGGTTTGTGTTCTGTCTGAACTTTTCCAAACACGCGCTAAGTGACTGCCGACAGATCTTACAGGATGGCGACTTTTTCAAATAAATCTGGGCGGTGCTATTAAGAGGTTAGAAGGAAATGGCTATGGTTTACAAAAGCTTGAACATTCGTAACTGTCATCCAGACTAACCTGCTTGCATTGAAATTAATTGGTAAATCCATCTCCGTTTTTGATAACTGCTGCTCTGTATCAGTTCAAACCCAACACTGCCCCTCAATCACTTGTCTCACACATGGGGAAGGTCTTCGTGGGGACAGCCTATCTGCTGAATTAAGTATGTAATAAACAGAGTTTTGAGCAACTCGGAAGCATCTGGTGCTTCCAAGTTCATTAACCAATGTCAATACACATTTTTTTCTGCAAGTCTTTCCTCATTCAGTATCACACAGGAAAAATATACTAGGAGGCCTGGGAAGCAATTGGCCAAATTTAATAAAACAAAAAAATATATTACCAGTTGCAAAACTTAGAATCATAGGATTGGAAGGGACCTTGGAGGTCTTCTAGTCTAACCCTCTGTTCAAGGCAGACCTTATACTAGCACTGATGATGTTACCTAGTTTAGGTAATGAAACATCTGCAAGAAAACAACCAAGCTCAGAGAACATCCAGGACCCCACAGTTGTTATTGTTACAGTTCTTCTTCCTCTTCCTCTTCCTCTTCCTCTTC